CACACACACACACACACACACACACACACACACACACACGCATGCACACACACCATTGATGTACGTATGCCAGTGTGTAAAGATATAGGTTAAATGTACAGGAATTTCACTTTCTTTGGGAAAGGATATTGATCTGCATGGATTCACAACATGGTTGATATAACATCAGGAAGTTCACAGATAGAATGATTTCAAAGCTTAATAATTCCCACTCTGCTTTCTAAGTAACAGCTAAAACTGGGAGTTAAAATTCGAAATAACTGCATTTCAATTCTAACTCCATCATTCTTCAAAAGCATCATTGTGAGGAAAATATACAGCTTTGCTTCATCTGCTCACTCATTCCTAACCTGGAGAATAGTGTTTTCCTCATAGTGCATCAAGAGGTTTTGGTGTGATGTTATGTTTGGTGTGATGTAAACATGTTTAAGTATACAAATACATTAAATAACTTCATAATTGAAGATTATTGATTATCACTAAAAATATCTTGCTTTGTCTCAGTTTCCAAGAAGGAATTATGTTTGTTTGTCATTGAAGTAAGAGCAAAACCACCAAAGAGAAGAGATGTTTAAATTGAGAAGCATGTAGATGCCTTACAAACACAGAAAACATCTCATCACAGTTATGCTTGGGGGCGTTATGACCATGAAACGAAAAAAAATCTCAAAGAGATGGAACACTGTTAGCAAGCAAGATTCAAGCCAAAGGTTGATTTATGAATGGAAACAAAGATTTCAAAATCTTATTTTGTAATGAAATATGAATATTGGTAAATGATGCACTCAAAATAAAGAATATAAGTCAGATAAACAGATTCTATTTGCTTGGACTTTTCAGATGGAAGTTTACACTAATCTCTTGTTTAATTTAAAGTTAAGTCTTTTAAAATGTCACACATAAGGCTTCTGGAAGTCCATGGACATGATCATGTTCCTTAAGACTATGCTTTCTAAATAACAGCCAAAACCAGAGTTAAAACTTGAAATAGCTACACTTGAATCCTAGCTCCACCATTCAATAAAAATGTCATGTGAGCAAAATTTACAGCTCTACATCTACCTACTCATTCCCAACAAAGAGAATAGTGTTTCCCTGATAGTGTATCAAGAGGCTTCGGTGTGATGCTGTCTGAGTAAACATCATGCCCCTTTCCTGACTCTGATAAAAAGAATAGTTGATCCTCCTCCCATTGCCTTTATCTTCCTAAAAGACTGTGTGTGTGTGTGTGTGTGTGTGTGTGTGTGTGTGTGTGTGTGTGTAATATAAACCACCTACACTTCAATTAAAGCCACAGCATTAGTTACCAAGCTCTAATTAAAGAATAAAAGTCCTTTACAGTATGTTGAAAAATGCTCTCAATTAGGTGTATTTGGATTTTTGTAAGTCCACATTTATTTGTGTAAAGACTAACCCAGATTTTCATTTTCCATATTAAAGTCTCATGTGCACCTCTCTTTTGTTGAAGCTGCTGACAATATATTTTGGATTAAGCCCATAATTTTTCTTTCCTCTCTCCAATTCTATTTTCCTAATCTTAATTAACATTGAAATATAGTATTTTTCAAAACTCAACTTATTCTGGAACTCCAGATGTGGCCCAAGATAGCTTGAAGCTCTGGGTTCTCCTGCCACAGCCTTCCAGGGTTTGAGATTTCTAATAGGTTACTAGCATAATCATCTAAGAAAGAAAAAATAATGTAATTAGAGTTACATTTGAACACAGTGTAAATTTAGAGATAAGAAATATGTATATTATAAGTTATGTTTTAATAAATTCTCAACTATCTTACCAAGAGATAAACTACCCAGAGTTTCATTTTGTGATTTTTAGAATTATAAATTTTAACATTTAATTGCACTTAAGTAGTGTCTTTGATGTAAGATACAAAGTTTTACCTTACTGAAAATTCAATGCATTAGAAGTCTTTGTCAGAGGTACACAATCACAGGAAATTAAAAAGTACTGCATTTAAGGGATGTATATTTACAAATACTTACATTCTCATTGCATAGGAGCATGGTAGATGATCAGTAGACAATACTCAAACATAAATATATCTCATGTTTGTAATTAAATTCATTTTATTTAATACATGAAACATCAAAATCAAATATATATATATATATATATATATATATATATATATATATATATATATATATAGTGGCACCAGATGATGTTTCCACACATGCATGAGTTAAATAGGTGGCGGTGCATTCCACAGTGCTGTATAAACCATTTTAAATGACAATCTAAGAATTTTAACTACATTGGCATCTGAACGACTTTACAGTATGCTGGTATTTTTTTCAAGGTTGCAATATTAACATCCATGATGAGCCTTTTAAAGAGTCAAGTGCATGAAGCAATGCATAGTTTTATGGGATTCTTTGAGGGGCAAGTGAGTAACATTTGCAGCCCAGCCCTCCAGTCTAAAGCAGGGATCCCAGAAGAAACTCCACTAAGATGGGACTGACAGTAAAACCTCATGTGGATCACTGCACACCAGGAGGGAGTCCATGTGCTCCAGTTGAGGGAGGATGTCTGGTGGCTCACACACAAGATTGATGAGTTTGAATGATTAATCAGCAGTGACCATGATTTGTTTTCAAAGAATTTCTCTTTGAAATGTACCTTGATCTTGACATATTACTTGGGGTTGATCTACACAGGAAAGAAAGTGGCACCAAATGCTGCAACTGCTTTGAGGGGAGTTTTATGTGATCATTAGATTTCAAAGCCATGGAACCTGGGGTAATCATCCACCTGGAGATCTGAGCATAACTGCTTAGGAAAACTTCTTCCTCTTGGGATTCCTCCTACTCACCTTCCATTCTCTCTAGAACCACAGGAAAACACCCGGTGATTTTTCTTCTCCTTAGGGAGGTTTTTGCAACATGACATCCATTCACTTGAGGTAATTCATACAGTGACAAAAGGAAACCTTGAGGGCACAAGAGCAACTGCAAGGCATAGCTAGGCATCTTGCTTCTTAGCATTTAAAACTCAGGCTTTCTATAGAAGTTACATCAAACATTTAATACATTTTTCATCATGTCCACTTCTAGAGCAGAGTAAGAAGCATAACATTTTCCTCTGAGCAGCTTTGACATTTATTGCTTTGCACAAATTGAGTTTTTCTGGTAGAGATAACTACTGCAGATATGGTAGGGAGAATATCTGCTGCTTTTCTGATTGTTTTAGTAAAAGCTATAGACATTCTTTATAGTTAATCTGTAGAGTAATGTATATAGGTGTGTGTGTGTGTGTACATGTGTGTGTATGGCTGTGTGTGTATGCTTGTGTATATGTATGTGTATGTCTGCGTGTCTGTGTATATGTGTGTGTCTGTGTGTATATGTGTTTGTGTGTCTGTGTATTTGTATGTGTGTCTGTTTGTATATGTGTATATGTATATGTGTGTGTGTGTGTGTATGTGTGTGTGTGTGTGTGTGTGTATGTATGTGGGGGGTGGCTCCAGCTACTCATGGATTGGGAGAATCTCCACGGCATCAGCAGACAGGGATTATATTTCCTTCAGCCCTTCACCATGGTGAAAGAGTCAACAGGATCCAGATGTTTGTTCTGGGTGTTAAAGTGTGTCTGCTCTGTAATCGTTGTCTGAGCCCCAAGCCCTTGCTTTATAGTGCTTGAAAATTGATTTCACCCAGCCTTCAGTCAGAGCTACAAAGCTCCAAACATTTTCACATTAATCCTTAGAGTGAGGAGCTGCTGATGTGCTTCCTAGCCTCAGAATTCCTGAATTCATGGGAAATTGTAGAATTTACAAGGAAATCCGTTTTGGAAATAAAAATGAAACCACATGCTGATGTTTTCATAACGTGTCAAGCCAGAGTTATTGATCGAGTATATCATTAAATTCTTGAAAGATGCATGGTTTCTACTGAGTAGATTATTATACATATATACCAGTGCAATTTACTCAAATAAGTGGTGGATTTGTGTGGTATTAAGTGTGTGCACATCAGAAAGAGAGGGAGGGAAGGAGAAAGAGATTGAATGAAAACATGACTATGAAAGATTAGGACAGCTGCTCCAATGATTAAGACTCTCAAATGAAAAGCTACGAGGTGAAAAGACAGTCTGACTTTTTCCATGAAAAGAAAAATGTTTAATGAAAACACACCACTATAAAGAAAGCATTCAGGTTCCTCTCTCCACTATTTCTAACCCTGAAATCCCAAGCTTCTTTCCTGGTGATTGAAATTAAAGGTAGGTACCTGTCTATTCATGGTGGTAATACAAACTTGCCTCTAGTGATTTGATGTTTTGAATTTTTTGAAGCTTAATAAAGACTCTGGAATAAGACAAAACATTTAAAGATAAATATGACAAAATTTCCTGAAAGGAATTTGAATAACAGCTATAAGAATTCTGAGTTGAGTAGACTGCCATCCTCAGGCGCTGAACTTTCCTCTAAGGTTGTGAAAAGACAAAAGATGGCAGACATACTTAGTGGCTTTTTGTTGTTGTTGGTGTTGGTATTTTAGCATTAGATAGTGTTACAATCAATCTAATATCACCATTTCCCTTAGAAAGTAAATTGTGTGTGTGTGTGCATGTGCACATATGTGCATGCATGTGTGTGGTATGCATATGTGTATGGTGTGTGTGCACATTCAAGTGCACACTTATGTGTACTGCAGAAACCCATGTGTGCTCACAGTAATGCTGGTGTAGATACAAGTAGCAAGCATATTGCTTGTGTGACAGTGTCGCAGACACAAATTTGGGACAGTAATTCAGTTTTAGTTATTGGTAAATTATATTTTAATGATTACAAACACAATTAACATGTCAGCGTGACATGGTATTGAACAAGAAATTTGATGCATTTTTAAAAATACATAACATTCTCTAGCTAGAATGTTGAGTACTCTATTAAATAGATATGGGAAGAGTGGACTGCTTTTTTTGTTCCTGATTTTAGTGGAATTGCTTTGAGTTTCCCTCCATTTAATTTGATGTTGGCTGTCAGCATGCTGTAAATTGCCTTTATTATGTTTAGGTATGTTCCTTGTATTCCAGATCTCTCCAAAACCTTTACCATGAAGGAGTGTTTAATTTTGTCAAAGACTTTTTTCAGCATCTAATATGATGATCATGTGTTTTTTTCTTTCAGTTTATGTTTATATGATGCATTACATTGACAGATTTTCATATGTTGAGCCTTCCATACATCTCTGGGATGAAGCCTACTTGATCATGGTGGATGACTTTTTGTTGTTGTTGTTGCATTTTTTGGATTCCATTTGCCAGTATTTTATTGAGGATTTTTGCATCAATGTTCATAAAGCAGATTGGTCTGCAGTTCTCCTTGTTGTATCTTTGTGTGGTTTGGGTATCAGGGTAACTGTAGCCTCATAAAAATGGTTTGTTAATTTTCCTTCTGCTTTTGTTGTGTGGAACAATTTGAAGAGTATTGGTATTAGCTCTTCTTTGAAATTGTGGTAGAATTCTGCACTAAAACCATCTGGTCCTGGACTTTTTTTGGTTGGGAGACTTTTAATGACTGTTTCTATTTCCTTGGGGTTATAGGTCTATTTAAATTGTTTATCTGGTCTTGATTTAATTTTGGTATGTAGTACCTATCCAGAAAATTATCCATTTCTTTTTGATTTTTCCAATTTTGTGGAGTACGGGTTTTTGAAGCATGACCTGATGATTCTCTGGATTTCCTCACTGTCTGTTATGTCTCCCTTTTCGTTTCTGATTTTGTTAATTTGAATGTTCGCTCTCTGACTTTTGGTTAGTTTTAATAAGGGTTTGTCTATCATATTGGTCTAGCTTGGTCGGTCTAAGGGGCCCCTGGGAGAGGGATCAGGATCTATCCCTAGTGTATAAGCTGGCTTTTTGGAGATCATTACCTATGGTGGGACACCTGGCAGAGCCTTGATGCAGTGGGGAGGGGCTTGGACCTGCCTCAACTAAATGTACCAAGCTTTGCAGACTCCCCATGGGAGGCCTTACCTTTTGGGGGAGGAAATAGGTTATGGGTTGGGGGGAAGGCTGGAGGGAGCAGGAGGAGGAATGAAGGGAGATCTGTGGTTGGTATGTAAAATGAATAAAACATTTCTTAATAAAGAATAAAATAGTATGTAGGCCAGGCTAGCTTGAACTCAGAGAGACCCACTTGCCTCTTGTTTTCTGAGTACTGGAACCAAAGTCATGAGCTACTATAGCTGGATATGTCTAATATTAGTGGGAAGTAAGTAAACAATCCTTTGATCTTTCAAATTATACCCTAGTCTCAAATTTTTTCATGTGTTTATTTAATTGCATTATTTTTCTTAATGTTTTTGTACACATTATGACAAGTTTGAAAAAAAAGATAATTTAGTTCTATTGTTACTAGTCATGGTTCTGACATTTACAGATTCAAGAGTGATGAGCTTTAGTAGATGTGCTATCTGTTATACATATTTGAAAGAAAGAATTAGGAAGGCTTTCTTACACATCTTATAGAAGAACCTCATCATCACCCTCTGCTATTCTCTAGAGATTTGCTGCTGTGTGGTAGAGGCTGATCCTTATTTTTTGGCAACAAGAGACAGGAGAGTGATGAAGACAAGATACCACTAAAAATTCCATTTCAAGTGACCCACTTCATCCAGCTAGGTGCCACCTTATATAGTTCCCAGAATTTCGTAGAACAACCCCATTGACTAGGGACACAGCACTGGAAATACTAGCTCTCATGCAATAATTTAGACTGAAAACTATGACGAGATTTCTCTAAACTGGATGGAGGAGATGTGGTCCTCTTTGCAGACAAAGCTGTCTAAGAACTAGCAGAGGAGTTATCCTCATTTGAATTTTGTTTGCTTGTTTGTTTGTTTTGTTTTTTCAAGACAGGGTTTCTCTGTGAAGCTTTGCGCCTTTCCTGGAACTCACTCTGTAGCCCAGGCTGGCCTCAATCTCACAGAGGTCCACCTGGCTCTGCCTCCTGAGTTCTGGGATCAAGGGTGTGCGCCACTACTGCCCAGCCCTCATTTGAATTCTAAATGACAAACCTTTGCATTGCTTTATTTATAAGTTGTCCAATTGGTTCACTATCTTGTTTTAAAATATCTCCCTTGAACTTGGCAATAAAGTATTGTAGATGTAACAGTCTTATTAAATAAGAAACACAGGACCAAATGCAGAGTTAAAAGCCCAAGAGGCAGAGCAGTAGCTAAGAGCTGAGACTTAAAACCACCTTCTTACCCTTGCTGCTGCCGCCGTGTCCTTCCCCTCAGAAAAGAAAACTACTTCCTGTGTGTCTGTCCTTTTATTGACTTTCTGTTCTGCCTTCTTATTGGTTGTAAACCCATCCACATGGCACCTTGTCACTGCCTGTCTATACAGACCTCTAGGTCTCTATGGTTGGTATTGAGATTAAAGGTGTGTGTTTCCATGCTGGCTGTATCCTTGAACACACAGGGATCTGCCTGTCATGTGATCAGGATTAAAAGTGTGTGCCACCACCGCCCAGCTTCTGCTATGGCTTGCTATTAGCTCTGACCCCCCAGGCAAATAAAATCACATTTCAGTACAAATAAAATGTCACCATAAAGTATTCTTGAAGTTCTTGCATGGTATTATTTACAAAATGAAAGAGCAGAAGAAATATGTATTTATTTTTCTTGACATTTAAGTGAAAAGAAGCAGACACAATTATCCTACTGTTTTTAAATAAATTAACCTCACCTCGTTTAAAGAACCATCCTTTTCAGCAGACTTAGTGACAATGTCATCCACTGTTGCAACATGATGATGATTGATGCTATGGAGGGGACCCTTTGCAAGGCTCAGCTTTGTCAGCAGGAATGGCATCACAGGCAGTGCCCGAATGACCTTCTCATTCAAAGTTTGCTGTCATCTGCAGTCACCTCAGCTGTGTGATAAAGGCCTTGACTACATAATCCTTTAAAGGAAATGAGCACAGCCAGGTTTCCTGAGGCTGAGAGAGTAAAAGGAAGAAAAAAGAAAGATCAGCACCATGCCACTGCACCTTCACACATTAGAAGAGAAGAAAGCCTTCTCTTATCCACCAAATTTGAATCTTTATCCTTCAAAGAGCTGTAGAAGTTATCACTCCTGTGTCCACATACACCTGGCAGATATGTAATGTGTAGTCACTGCAGGGAGCACCCACTCAGTTGCATCACTGGAGACATGTGGGAGACATCTGGAAGCAGCAGGCCACACCTGTTGAGAAGGCAGCAAGTGGACTGTGCATGGAAGCTGAGACAGGAGGAGAGTGCACTGCCCTGGGGTCTTCCCAGCCAACCAGCTTGGCATGTCCAGCTGACTCAACAGGATAATGTGGCAAACAAGGGGATTGAAACACTCAAGCTCCTGCTGCCTTTTTGAAACCTCTAGATATTTATTTGAAGAACAGAAAGGAGTTGGTGTTATTCTTTAGATGCTGGTGTGGCCAACACCGTAACACCGTGCTGGTATGAGATGACACGTGGCTTAAAGCAGCCCTTCCTCTTAGAAAAGTGGAGTAGAGGGGCCGGTATTGCTCTCCTCTGTCAAGTCTCAATAGTTCTTTTAGGAGAACAGGAGTCAGTGGTGTGGAGCTCTGATACCCCAATATTTGGAATAACTTGCTTTGCATACTGTTGTGTGGTGTTGTTTTATTCTGCAGTGCTGAGGATTAACCAAGAGCCTACAACATGCTAAGCAAGAATCTTAACATTGAGCTCCACACCAGCCCATAGTGACTTTCTTTTTAATGAAAGAACAAGGTCTACAGACATTAAAAACAAAGTGAAAAGAATTCTAAATTGTTCATCTGACTAAAGCTACAAACACTAGACAAGCATTCACTGCCACTAAGGATGAATATGCCCTAGTGCACTGTGGTTGATAAGATGGACCCACAAAATAAAGACTACAGTATGTGGTGGGCAATCTTCATCATTGACTGATAAGATAGACAATCGGCAAGGTAACTCATCTCTGTGGGTTTATGAGTTTCCAGAAAGGTTTAACTAAGAAGGAAGTGTACAAGCAGCACTATCCCATTGATCTGTATCCCAGCACCAGCATTCATCTCTCTTTCCTTCTTTCTTTCTTTAATATAGGAAATAAACTTTATTTATCTGATCCTCTGAGATAATATGGCCAACAGTCACAAATCTGCATTCAATAGGATTGTATATTGACTATTTACAATTTACAGTAGTATTTTTTCCTCTGAATCTCTTTCCTTCTTGATTGCAGACACGATGTGAACAGGTACATCACACTCCTAACATCATGATTTCCCTGCCATGATTGACTAACTATTCCTTGAAGCAGTGAGTGAAAGCAAACCTTTCCTTCCCTAAGGTGCTTTGTTAGATGTTTGGTTATGGCAAATTAGAAAAGCAACTGCACACAGTCTAAAAATGTTTTCCTTACAAACAGGCCAGTTGCTGCATCCCTGTGACCCTGGACAGCAGTACATCTTACCAAAGAAACAGTGTTCTCACTTCTGTATCCATCCCACCCAAAAGAAAAGCCAAACCCCACACTCATTCCCTGAAAACACACAGAAAATGTGAAATAATACCCAGTGACCAGCACTGATAATAGCAAATATGTGAACATGACAAAGGGCGGCACACACTGTTGATTCACAAAACACTACTCGGTAAAGGTAAAGGGAATGAAGCGAGTATTAATAAAGACAAAAAGCCTCTAATTTGTCATTATTACCATCATTGTACACAAGACCTCACTATGCACCAGAAACACGTAAACTAGTGAATGAAGTAAAATGAAAACACTAAGGAGGAAATGATTCTCCTAGCTTTTCTTATTGAGGTTTTATTTGCATATATAGGATCCTGGCATGGAGAACTCGCAGCCCATGGATTGCATGTACTATAGAACAGCCATGAATGTGGCCTAACACAAAATTATAAATTGATTTAAAAAACAAGGTAGTTTGTGAATTTTTAAAAAGGTTAGTGTTCAGTGGAATCATGGGCACTCTTGATTCTTTTTTCTTAGCCTTTTTTTTTAACTTATTCATGAAATAGCATATGCATTTGTAGGGTCATAATCTTTACGACTGTATGTCCACTGATTTCTGTTCTACACTAAAGCTTGTGTGAACAATGTCAAGAGAATCTGTCAGTTTTTTCCTTCCCATTCAGACACGAACATTTTGTTTTGTAGTAAATTTTAGAGGCATTAAAAGAATCAGAATCTCCAGTCTCTAATGTAAACATCTTTTAAAGTGCAGTTTTTTAGAGACTTCAGGGTTCATACTGCTTGCTGCAACCTAATGCTTTCAATTTGAGATTACTGCCTCCCAAAGAGTTCATAAAGTAAAAATTACATCTTTAGAAGTATACCACAGCTGTTTCATTATTCCAAACCATATTCAATAAAGGAGGCTGCTCAAACATCAAATCAATACTGCTGGGAGCATCTGAATCATAAAAAAAATCATCTTCATCATTTTGCTGCTAAACAGCTCAAATGTGCTATTATTTAATTCATTTCAAAGAGTTTCCAAGTCTATTTCTTCTTTACAGTTGAGTAGTTCCAAAATATTTTCTCTGAATTGTGACTAGTACATAACAAATCTCTTCCTACAAAATGATTTTTTTTTTCTGTTACATTTGATTATCATCATTGTGGCTTATACCTAATTTTGGTTCCACTGAAGGTTTGCAAACCAAAGAAAGCAGTGAATTGAAAGAACTATCATTTGTATTTCAGTTGCAATTTCAATTGCCAGGAGTGACAGTCATCTCAGCAGAAGCCATCTTTTACACATCGTTCTTACCCTTTTTATTATGGAGTGTGCCCACTTTGAGTTCGGATACTGTTGGGGCCTGTGATTTGCCCTTATGAGTTGCTTTACTCCATGGTAAGCCTTTATGTGTTTTGTGGATGCTGTGAGAAGACTCAGGCTCCTGGGGCAGCAAGAAACCCTGAATGTAGCATGAAAGCCAACTTTTACACATTGCCTAGTCTCTCAGGCCAAACGGGTGGCCAAGTGAGGCCAGGCAGATACTGATCGTGCATGAAGCTCAAAGACACTCACTGATCTTGGGGAGTCTCCTGCTTTTAGGAAGCACTTAGTAAACCTGAGTGACAAGAACAATATGGTGAAGTGGTGTGGGTTCCACATAGTCAGGGCTCACATTCTTGTCACACCCTACAAGTCCGTACAAAGATGTCCAGGGCCCCTGGAAGCTCCCTCTGTCCCATTCACATGTCTGTGAATTCTGATTCAAAATATATTTTGATTGAAACTAATTTTAATTCATCTCCATGAAATCTATTCATTATTCTTCTTCTCACAAAAATTTGTGCATGTGCCCAACACCTCTACATTCTAGGAGGCTTTAAAATAAACTGAGTAATGAGAACTTAAACTCCATGCCACCAGGCCTAGTCAGCTGTTGCTATCTTTGCATCCTCTTCACCTATAAATGTATTTTGAATTTGCTTCATTTCCCAGAAAGTTGATGCAAAAATGAGTAGCTGCAAATTTCCATCATGAGGAAAATAAATCAGAGTTAAAATAACAAAAGTCGCCATACATTAAAGTTATGATCCTGATTATATTATCTATCATTCTAGAAATATTTTTCCAAGTTACAGCAAGGTTTTTTTTAATAATTCTACCATGGTAAATATATATAGGTATACATTTTCAAACTTAGTTACATTTTCTGTGAGATTTGAGTAAGATGTGTTTGTGGTTTTGAACTTTTAGCTGGGTAAGGCTTTACGATTCCTTACTCATATGCAAAAATAATCATGTTTTAAAAAAAGGCATTAAATTTAGTGCAAACCAAGAAACAAACAAAATTGTTTTAATGTGTCCTATTTCACTCTGTCCATTCATTTGTTATTGTTCTATAGATAGACATCTTGTTTTTGCAAGCCAGCTTGCTTTTAAAATATATTACAAAATGGCATTTATGTGTTGAGTCAGAAAGATAACATTATACATTAAACATTTCTTTTTAACCTCACTCCTATTTATAAACCGTGTCTTGCAAGACTTGGGAGCACACAGCTATAGCTAAACATTTCAAAAGGTACAACTAAACCAATTGTAGGTGAAATTTAGAAAATAATACAGAAAAATGGACATGTCTTTAATCCCAGCACCTGGGAGGCAGGGGCAGGTAATTCTCCCTGAGTTTGAAGACACCTTGGTCTACAGAGTACATTTCAGGGCAGCCAAGGCTACAAAGAGAAACCCTGTCTCAAAAAAAAAAAAAAAAACCCAAAATATAAAAAAGGATCTCTAAAACCAAAACCAAAACCAGAAAAACAAAAAAAAAAATAAGTCATGAATGTTCTTTGATTTTTAAGGAAGTATAGGCAGTGCTGTGCCCATATAGTAAAGACTTGGTCTCTAGCCCAAGGTGTTGCTGGGAAGTCACTGTAATGTATGAGGTGGGACCTAAAAGGAAGTGAGATCATCAAGGACTATACCCTGGAAGAAGAATTTATGATTGTGACTCCATCTCATCCTGTCTCCCTCCTTCTTCTTAGCTGCCTGCCATCAAGTGAGAAATTTTCTCTTCTGTAGTTTCCTACCATAATACATTGCCTCACCATAGGTTCAAAAGCAATGAGGTCTATGAGCTCTAATGGAAACCCCTGAAATCATAAGTAAAAGTAAACACACAAAAAAAACCATTTTCCCTTTGTTAGTTAGTCTACGTCAAGTATTTATTATAGTAAAGAAAACGAGAAAAATCAAAGAAAATGTTTTTTATAGCTTTAACCTACACTTTGTACTTCCCCTTTTCCTAGATAAGAGAACTGCAGTGTAATACCATCTCTTTGTTTATAGAGACTTTCTCTCTACTTATTCAACAGGCATTAGTTATAGCACTGGGTATGGATGGTGGCTAATGAAAATAAAAATTAAGTAAGGTCTATCTAAGCAGAGTTTCCATCACAGGGAATAGCAATCAACTCAGAAGCCAT